GAATTTCTGATACCGGGAATTCCCGATCCCGGGAAACCGGGAATTCCTGATCCTGGGAAACCGGGAATTCCTGATCCCGGGAAACCGGGAATTTCTGATCCCGGGAAACTGGGAATTCCCGATCCTGGGAAACCGGGAATTCCCGATCCCAGGAAACCGGGAATTTCTGATCCCGGGAAACTGGGAATTCCCGATCCTGGGAAACTGGGAATTTCTGATCCCGGGAAACCGGGAATTCCCGATCCCGGGAAACCTGGAATTTCTGATCCTGGGAAACCGGGAATTTCTGATCCTGGGAAACCGGGAATTCCCGATCCCGGGAAACCGGGAATTTCTGATCCTGGGAAACCGGGAATTTCTGATCCTGGGAAACCGGGAATTCCCGATCCCGGGAAACCTGGAATTTCTGATCCTGGGAAACCGGGAATTTCTGATCCTGGGAAACCGGGAATTCCCGATCCCGGGAAACCGGGAATTTCTGATCCTGGGAAACCGGGAATTTCTGATCCTGGGAAACCGGGAATTCCTGATCCCGGGAAACGGGGAATTCCCGATCCCGGGAAACAGGGAATTCCCGATCCTGGGAAATGTGGGATTCCTGATCCTGGGAAATGGGGGGGAATTCCTGATACAGGGAAACGGGGAATTTCCGATCTGGGGAAACGGGGGAAAACGGGGGATTCCTGATCCGGGGAAACGGGGGAATTCCCACTGCAGATCCAGGGAAATGGGGGAAATTCCAAACAAATGGGAGGGATCCCAAATCCAAATACAGATCCCAAACCCAGGGAATGGTCCCCAACTCCAAGGAATGGTCACCAAACCCAGGGAATGGTCACCAAATCCAGGGAATGGTCACCAAATCCAGGGAATGGTCACCAAATCCAAGGAATGGTCACCAAATCTAAGGAATGGTCACCAAATCCAGGGAATGGTCTCCAAATCCAAGGAATGGTCACCAAATCCAAGGAATGGTCACCTACATCTCCCAAATCCAGGGAATGGTCATCAAACCCAGGGAATGGTCACCAAACCCAGGGAATGGTCACCAAATCCAAGGAATGGTCACCAAATCCCGGAAATGATCACCAAATCTAGGGAAAGGTCACCAAATCCAAGGAACGGTCACCAAATCCTGGGATACCCGCCCCCCGGCTCCCAAATCCCGGGATACCTCACGGAACTGACCGTCAGCCTCCTCTTGACGTAGCGGATGACCAGGAAGGTGTCGTGGTTGAGGTTGCGCACCATGGCCGTGCAGCCGCCCAGCTCCGTGGGCCGCCCGTCGCGGTCGTGGTCGTAGGTCAGCGAGCCGTTGTTGACCATGGCCGAGATGTAGGGGAACACGCGCTGCCGGAGGGGGAGAAACGGGATCAGGGTCCGGGATCACGGAGAGACGCCGGGAAACGGAGCTGGGGTGGAACCGAAGTTCCTTCAGCCCATGTGGATCTGCTCAAAACGACCCTGGAGTGATCCCAAAGTTCCTGGAGATCTCCTCAAAACAACCCTGGAGGGATCCCAAAGTCCTTCAATCCCTGGGATCTCCTCAAAACAACCCTGGAGTGATCCCAAAGTCCTGCAGTCCCTGGAGATCTCCTCAAAACAATCCTGGAGTGATCCCAAAGTCCCTGGAGATCTCCTCAAAACAACCCTGGAGGGATCCCAAAGTCCCTGGAGATCTCCTCAAAACAACCCTGGAGTGATCCCAAAGTCCTTCAATCCCTGGGATCTCCTCAAAACAACCCTGGAGTGATCCCGAAGTCCTTCAATCCCTGGGATCTGCTCAAAACAACCCTGGAGTGATCCCCAAGTTCCTTCAGCCCATGGGGATCTCCTCAAAATGACCTCAGAGTGATCCCAAAGTCCCTGGAGATCTCCTCAAAGCAACCCTGGAGGGATCCCAAAGTCCTTCAATCCCTGGAGATCTCCTCAAAACAACCCTGGAGGGATCCCAAAGTCCCTGGAGATCTCCTCAAAACAACCCTGGAGTGATCCCAAAGTCCTTCAATCCCTGGGATCTCCTCAAAACGACCCCGGAGTGATCCCGAAGTTCCTTCACCCCACAGGGATCTGCTCAAAACAATCCTGGAGTGATCCCAAAGTTCCTTCAGCCCACAGGGATCTCCTCAAAATGACCTCAGAGTGATCCCAAAGTCCCTGGAGATCTCCTCAAAACAACCCTGGAGTGATCCCAAAGTCCTTCACCCCACAGGGATCTGCTCAAAACAATCCTGGAGTGATCCCAAAGTCCTTCAGTCCATGGGGACCTGCTCAGAACAATCCTGGAGTGATCCAGAAAAACCACCTGGATGACCCCAAACTCCATCCTGATGGATCCCAAACTCCTTCATTCCCCAAAAATCCACTCAGAATCCACCTGGATGACCCCAAACTCCATCCTGATGGATCCCAAATTCCTTCATTCCCCAAAAATCTCCTCTGGAAGACTCTGGGACCATCCTGATGGATCCCAATGGATCCCAAACTCCTTCATTCCCCAAAATCCACTCAAAAACCACTGGGACAATCTCACTCCATCCCAGTGGATCCCAAATTCCTTCAATTCCCAAAAAATCCATTCAGAAACCAC